AAACAAATAAAAACGTATAAAAAAGCAAATCCTGCTTAAGTCAGGTTTATCAGTCTCTGCGACAATTGTTAGCAAAGAAGAATAATGACTCCTGAAATGGCAGCATCGTAGTTCTGCAGTGGGAAAAAAGCAACAATTCTGCTATAATTTAGAGTCAGCGATCAGTCACACTTCAGCCACAGTACATCATATTTTAAGACCAAAAGGTCAACGTATTCAAAGTCAACTGAAAAGTCAACGGCCTCTGAATTTAAGTGGCCTTCTTGAAAGGTCAACACTGCGAATGATACATTCTATAAAAGTCCAATGATAGCCAAATATGATGAGAAAATAGCAGGTTACCATATCTAACCATAATGTGTTCTACGCCAATCATCTGCTGTCACATGACTGAAAGTGACAACGGTGTCTTACGCGTCTCCTTCCCAAAGCACTAATCAGTGTTTAACGAAAAAAAGTAAAATTCGTGACCACAGCAATGTGGCGCCCTAAAATTTCCATGAAACGAGGCAATTTGTGGCTTCATTCTTCGGAAGGGTCTATGGGGTGGGGGAGAGGGACTAATCTCCATCACCATGCCATCAGCCAGGAATATTTTATTTCCTAAGGTAAAGTTACAACGAAAACAGCATGGTAAACTACGACAGAGTAGACTTCTGTTTCACGTCCACAAAGCAAAAGTACTTGTTAATCAATCGTTCAAGAATGAAATAGAAATAATCCGGTACGGCTCATAACGAACCAGCTACCGCCAGACTACAAGTTAGTTGAAAGCAAACATCTGTTGGACGCTTCCACAGAAAACGCATAAATGAGCTTACCTGGCCGAAGCGGATAGCCGCTACGCTTATGAACGGGGTCCATCTGCGGAATGTTGAAAAATTCAGGCAGAAATCCGTAGTTCCGTAATACACTGTAATAATTCACCATGATTCGTCTGGCTTCTTCAATATTGCCAACCAACGTCTATTAAACAATATTTCAGGTACGTACAATTAACAGTCTTGCACAAGCGTCAATACCGAAATAGTGGACAGTACTCATACATAAAAAAAGCATGCGGACGTTTTATTAAAATG